CCGTCCCCGTCCCCGTCCCCGTCCCCGTCCCCGTCCCCGTCCCCGTCACCGTCCCCGTCCATTTTTCCAATCATTGATCAGATCAGGTTCATTGAATAGATCTCGACTAGTTTCTAGCGTATTTATTATGACCTTTTGAAATATTAATTCGTATGTATCACGTGAATACTATTTTTAACAAATTTATTGCGTAGAACGAGAGTGTGTGAGTTCTCATTTAAGGGTTTTGTTTTACAAAACCATCTGAAAAAATCTGTAAATCAGAGTATACTGCTTTCTACGTAAAGTATTATATGTAAAGTACCTATATACAATATACAGTGGTTTTCTTGGAAAATTTCGAGGTATGTTTGTGTTTTTTTCCATCGTGAAAACTTTTAGAAATCGTGTTTTCACACCGTATAGTATTTTTTCAAAAGTGATAGATTCAATACTTTCACTGTTATGCGAAATCAACCAAAGCCATTTGAGGTAGCATAGAGTCTTAAGGCTGATTACACACGGCGCCGTAACAACAGCGGCACCGCCGCCGCTGCGATGACGCCGTGGTTGTAGTCGCCCTTGTATTTGTCACACACTTTCACACACACACCGCGGCAGCGTCGTTACTTGAAACTGCCGCAATTGTCTACTATGGTACGATTTTAGTTGATCACGCCGACGCCGTAAAAGTAATCAACCTTTTGCGTGTAAATTTGTAGAGATATCTAAAGATAAGGTTATTTCATATATATATGGGTTAAATTATAACCAGAAGCAAAGAATAAATATTACACTTATCTAACATTGATTATTCGCATGCAGATATAGTTATATTTACTGATAATCAGGCAATATATAATTATATATAATTACCAACAAATCTAATGCGAAGTTTACTTTGATTTCTAAGTTCACGTGCTGTGCACGCGTCCATGTTGATTTAATTTTTGTTTTTATTCAGTTTAACCGACAATAAGTTGTTATAAAGTAACTGTATAAGATATAGTGTGCATAGCTGTGATTCTAGGCAGTGTAAGTGTTTAATATAACATTTGCAAGTATTTGAAATTCGAAAAAGAAAATCACATTATGAAAGTGGAAATACCAATTTTGAGGAGATGCTGTTTCTGCTTCCCTTCGAGATATGGGCTTTTGATATTCGCTTTTGGTGGATTGGTAAGTTAGAATAGATAATTCGTGTAATTATCTAATTTTTCTTGTTTATTTTGTTTACGTTGTCGGTACTTCTAGGATGAAAGGCGTAAAACCCAATTCAGTGAATTATAACTTTTTATAAAACAAAGACCATAATCAGTAGTTTGTGAAATTACATCTGTTTTCCAAGTGTTATTGAAATGGGTTACCGGAAAGTGTGCGAAATCGGATTCATCCCCTAGTGTGCCACGCGTAACATACACACAAAAAAAAATACAGTTTCTCACAGAACCTCATCCTTCTTTGAAGTCGATTAAAAATGAAGTTTGTCTAATCAGAGTTTTGTTATGTGCCGAATCGTTTTTACGTAAACATAGTAATAAAAATAAGAAAGATATGAACATAGTATTTTTCACCCGTCTAGTAAGTTACGTAATTTGGCTTTTACGCCCTATTATCCCCGATGCATAGTTGTATCTACTATTCCAACGTATTATATCAAATTCCAAGTCCATCGGACATGTAGAAGTAAAATAAATGTTTATTTTATGACTGAGATCCCTATTCTAACTGGAAAAAGAGCTGACAAACAGCTGAAAGATGTTCATCAAACATGCTAAGGACCACCCCAATTAAATTAGCCTTCCAATAAAACCTTGAGTGATCTCAAATTGGTTTTTTTCATTCAGTCAGACAGACATAGACACACAATTACACAAAGTCTTCAAGCTTATAACTCCCCTCTTCAAAAACGCGTAGAATCACCAACCCACAATGAGCCAACGTGTTGGACCTTAGCCATGTCCAGAGAAAACTCGTTTGTAGCATTAAGACGTATAGTTTTAATTACAATTGTATATTTTTGACCGACTTTAAAAAAGGAGGATCTCAATCCGACTGAATTTTTTTTGTATATTACACGATTACAAAAATATTTTTTTATATGTTATATTAATGTGAACAATGGGTGCAAGACGTTAAGGTCCCGGGTTCGATTCCGGAATGACCAATTTCATAAACAAACATTTACATTCTTTATTCATACTTACATACTGCCTCGGTGGCCGAACGGTTACCATGGTCTGCCACGCAGAGGTTCCGGGTTCGATCCCTGGGCCGGGAGAAATATTTGCATGGTCATGACCTACATTTATTTAACTCGTGAATTTGAGTGTAATTTGTAGTTGTCTATATGTATCCATGACACCCGTATTACAAGGTTTCCCTAGGGACATTATTATTATTATTATTTCTAAATTGGCTGTGAACAGGAAATTTCCTATTTTGAGGATTTGGCTTATCATGTAATTATTTCGTAAATTTTCAGCTGTATTTCGCTTTCTTCATGTACGCTTACTGTTACCGCATGTCTTGGCTGTTGTCGCCGTGGATCGAAGTACCCGACGAAATATACCCCTTAGAAGTTACGAGCACTTTACTTAATATCATCTTTAATTTAATAAATTTAGTATTCAACTCCGTGCTGCTCGTGGCAGCTCATAAGGTACGTATGCTTTCTTTCTTCTTTCAATCTTTTACAAAAGAACTAATGATAATCTGGCTTAACTGCTAGAACTCGAAACCCTAGACGAGGAGGAGTGAATCATTATAGGGAGTCACGACATTTATCGATAAGGAATTATTTTTTTATACGTGTCAGGCAGAAGACACCACTCCATCTGATGTTAAATAAATAGTGAAATCTAAACGTGAAAGAACCTAATGCAGCGTTGTACATTCACTTCCCGAGCCAGCCTTACACTGCGTGCCTACAAGATGCCTCTTCACGCCTCGTTTATTATATTTGTTGTCTCATTTAAAATTCAATTTTAAAACTGAAACTTGATTAAAACCGAATTTTGAAACATGACGTAAATATTTTAAAACAGTCGCTAAAAACATGCTATCTTGAAAAAATCGTCGATATTGCCCTTTCTATAAAACACCTACGATATGGCCTAACGCATTTCGGAAAAAACACTTTACGTTCAAGATAAAAAGAGTAAAAAAGACGTTGTGCGTATCGCATCGGCTATGTACAGACGTTTTCTACCTATTTCCGATCGCGTCTATAAGAAGCCGACGACGGCTGATCGGTGGTGTCGCATAAGTGACCGAATGGTAGCGCCGTAATGAAATTTAATTTGATATTTAGCATGAGGCTTTTCGGTGAAGGAAAACAAAGCACGTCGAAGAAGGTCCACAACCCACGGAAAACGTCTGAAGCCCTCAACCCGTATTAGGCCAGCGTGGCGGACTATGGCCTAAAACGGTGGGATATATAAATGGATTGATCCGAGAAATTAGTTTCATATCCAATGTGTAACAATCGCGAAAAGCTAGCAGCAGTAGAGCTCGTTGTGAAAGAATTCATCCAGGGAAGTACTGCCACCTATTTCTGCCGCCAGCAGTAATGTTAGCAATACTGCGTTCCGGTTTTGAAGGGTAAGTAAAATTACAGGCACATGGGACTTGTCAACTTACGTCTCAGGGTGGCAGGCGCAGTGGCAGTGCCCCCCAGATCTTTGCTCTTGGGTGTCTCTGCAACTGTTATGGACAAGCGTGTAGCTTACCATCTGGCGCACACCTCGTTAGTCCCGTCACTTGATATTATAAAAATAAACCTAATTGTTTTGTTCAATTAATTTTCAGAAAAGTTTAAAAATCTTCAAATCCTTCTACTCGTGGGAATTTATTGGCGTTTTTGTGAATGCATCGTTAATAATAATAATCTTAGGCATCGATATGTACATCATGTGGGCCTACGGAATGGACGTGCTCCACCACTCACGATTGAAAGTGTTGCTAATAGAAGTGCTGCCTGACGTATTGTATTTATGTAAGTATTCAATCACCAGTGCTGCATGCTCCTTCAAGGAAAAGGTTCAAGCTAGACGTATGCATCATCAGCTTACACAACTCTCCTGGTCTTGCGCCGCCTACATCCACCCTGCTGGCCACCTTTCTCAGCTCATCCATCCATCATATCGCAGAGCATGCTACACTACGTTTGCCTTGTGATCGCCACTCTATAACAAATTAATCTGCTCCTTCGGCTATCAACCCTCCTACAGACATGTCCGGATTATACAGACATATCCGCCGATTAATATGCACTATTTATTTATTTTATGTCTTAAATTTTATGTAACGATTTTCATGTTTTTTTTTACATTTCCATATAATATGTAATATACCGGCATGGCAACAGTAAAAGGTTCAAAAGAATGTCGTGCCATGTGTTGGTTGATACGTATCCAAACTAGATCTTTCCCACAGATTTTTCTTGAAAACAGAATCATTAATTAAATTTGATTACCATCAGTAATCCGAAATGACATTTTCCAGAAATAACATTTGGTCAAAATTTCATAACATCAAAAATGTTTGTTTCTTTTAAACCTAACTTAACCTAACCTTTTTTTTTTTTGTTAATCCGGGGGAATCTGCTTACAGATACCCCGGCCCCGCGGGGGCAGAGCCGGGGTTATGTGGGACTGGGCTGAACCCTGAAGGGGAGCAGCCCGACCGCACTAAACCCCCGGAGTGTTCCTCCTCTCCGCTGTAGGTGGGGGTACGGGTACGCTGTTGCACTCGTCCGCGCCCCCACCAGCGGCTGGCCGCGCCCTGCGCAGCCCCTCCTCGAGAAGGGAGACACATCGGTCCCCCGACTCCGAATGTGAGGCTCGCCGAACACCAGACGAGCCTTCCATCCCGGGCCCCTTTATGCTGGGCAACGAACTCCCCCGAGTCCGCTACCCAGGGGCCATGGGAGGCCAGGACAGCATCCACTCAACTGTGAAGTTCAGTGGCTGCTCCCCCAGCCCCCGCGGCGGATCTGATGACAGGCTCCGCCGCAACACCTAACGCGCTTCCGCGCGGACTCTCCGAAGAGAGTCCCTTGGAGCGCCCACCACGGGCCAACCCACGGCCCACGTTCGGCCGCGGAGGATAGGACGAGCGGCAACGACACACCGACACGTCTCTTCCCCCGCGGCCCCGCCGCCACTGCATCATTCAAAGCGGTGCAGCCCCGCCAGCGTCGCGGAGGACAGGACGAGCGGCAACGACACACCGACACGTCTCTCCCCCCGCGACCCTCCTCCTCGCGCATCCGCGCGGTCCCGCTGGCCAGACGAGCCACGGAACGCCCTCATCCTCGGGCCAGCCTACCACCATCGGCCGGCCCCGTGTGTTCCTCTTAGCTTCACCGTGGGATGAAATCGACCACGGCTACTAGAGCCCCCCCGCCACGACAAGGCGGGAACCCCTTCGGGGGGGAACTTAACCTAACCTAACCGAACCTAATCGTGTCTTTGCGATAAACATTCAACATATCCTGAAAGAACAAATGTTTCGTTATAATTCGGTTTTCGGTGTAATGAATATTCGAACAAACGTTATTTCGGACACAAAATTTTCGACTTTGTGACAGGTTATCATTAAATTTATATTGAATTGATATTCATTTATTTTTTTGTGGAATTACTCCACTAGTTTGTTATAATTATTAATACAAAGATCGAACTTACAAAAAATTCCTTCGATCGAGAATCATTAATATCATTTTTTTATACTAATAAAGAGCATTAAATTCTCAACTTCTTAATGCCTGGCTTTCTAAGGGTCGTATTCTAGAACTCTATTCAATGCTCAAGTCAGGATTGCACTGTCAACACAAGCACTGAAAATAGGACCCTAATGGCAGGGACTTGAGTATGATTCCGAGTGCTTTAAACCATACTCAAATCTCAGGATTTGATTAGAACTTGAGCATTGAGTAGAGTTCTAGAATACGACCGTAAGTCCACGTTCGTTCCTTTCTCGAACATGCAAAATATGGAATGGGTTCCCTTCTGAAGTTACCTTTACATTACGGCTCGGGGCTCTTAAAGACCCGCAACACACATATACCTCCTCTGATATTGCAGATGTTTATGGGCGACGATGACCACCTCCCTTCAAGTAGCTCGTCTGCTAGTTTGCCTCCTACTTTATATAAAAAGTCTTGTCATTTAACCGCGCCAGAGGAAACTAATAGAATTTTCACCTAAGCTTTTCTTTTACGTCTACCAACTACTACATTTACATTTTCAATATTACAAGCACATTTCTTTTTCAGGTATCCAATTATACACTCTGTCTCTGGTGAAGAACGAAATAAATAAGTTGTCAAACAATCACGGCTTTCGATTCGTCAATTTGAACGACAGCGAATGCGTGTACGTTGAAAACACCAACAGTTGTATTCGTGATGATGACAAAGGAAATTATAATTGTGATTGTCAAAAGTGTACAAGATAGACGTATTTTTATACAGTTGTCATTATTATAATGTTAGGCCTTTGTTAAACTGTAAATAATTTTAGAAGCAGCAGATCTCCTTGTAGAAAAGTTCGTCGCAGTGGCAAGGCAAAATATCAATTCTCTCCTAGCGCATCTTCGGTGAAAATGGACGGGATTGAAGAGGATGGGCGAGACGAGATTTGAAATATTTGTTGATGTAATATTGAGCCGTATTGCGCCTGCATAGACTCTTTATTAACTCTGCAACGGAAACACGATTCACGATGTCTCGCACGATATCGCGCGGGCCCGTGCGTACTCGCGATGCGAGATTGTGGGATGCAATCGCGTGCATTGAAATGTAAACGTTCACACATTTTCGAAATTATATAAATATTAGATATTTCAAAAAATGTACCTTGTGCTGTTTTCAAAAATATGTAATCACGACACCATTTTAAAAATGGTATATACTTTTATTTCAGAGAATATAAACAGACTACAATCAATGAAAAATATATAGTCCTGGTGTCATACATGTATCCATATTATTTTCGTAGATATTTATACATTGCATATTATATATTTATAATTGCATCAAGATGTACGAGATTAGGGTTGTGATTTTATCATAATTATGTAACCATTTTTAAAACATTGCATCGTTTTCAAAAATATTTATATATACACTATATAGTAGCAATATAATGTAAACATACCAGCGCCAGTTGTAACCTTTTTTATAACATATTTGCTCGTAAAGTGGCTGAAATCACACCAATTTCAATAACCTAATGTATTTCATTACGCACTTGTGCGTTATTGTAATGTAAAACGCACAAGTGCGTTATTGTAATGTAAAACGCACGAGTTTTTTTTTTTAATAAAGTACATGCACTGTTTTTTAAGATGCTCCGTCTAAAAAAGAACGATACTTTTTTAAATCTTTGCAAAGAGTTTTTATGTTAGAAAAGTGGTCAATATTTTATGAATAAAATTAACTCTGGGAGATAAAATATAGTAAATAAACATTTAATTCTTTCATTTAATTAATTTTGACAATAAATTACAACCATTTATCTGTAACAAAAACACAAAAATATTAATTTACTTTATTAGTAATACTGGCTATTTTTATACCTTTGCCTAAAAAAAAACGTTGGTGCGCGCGCATGGCTAATTTGTGGACAAGTAAAAATTATTTCGCGCGCTTTTTCTTTTCGCTGTATTGTTTTTATTTGAAAATGTCGTCAAGTAGTGATGAATTTATTAATTTGACACCGCCACAAGTCTTAAACGCAGCGAAAAAGGCTGCTCTAAGCCTCTTACCTGAAAAATCGACCGATAGATGCTTACAAGCGTATCAAAATTTCATCATATGGAAAACAAGCAAAGATGCAAATTCATTTTCAGAAAATGTGTTTTTAGCCTATTTCATGGAACTTTCTCAAAAATATAAGTCAAGCTCATTGTGGTGCTACTATTCAATGCTAAAAAGCACTATGAAAACAAACCATGGTATTGATATCAAGTCGTACTCCAACTTGATAGCATTTCTAAAAAGACGCTCAAATGGCCATGTAAGTAAAAAGTCGAAAGTATTTTCGGCTGACAATATCAAGAAGTTCCTAAAAGAAGCTCCGGATTGGCGATATTTGGCAACAAAGGTCAGTTGAAACTAAATTATTGTTATTAATTTCTTTCACTTTCGTATTTCTTTACAATATAGGTGTTTATACGTTCTTTTTATCTCTTTTCAGGTTGTAGTAATATTCGGTATAAATGGGGCATGTAGACGTCAAGAGTTGGCAAACATAACAACTAATGATGTCGAGAACCATGGGCGGGTTCTTCTTGTCCAGGTCAAAAACACAAAAAATAAAATTCCAAGGTCGTTCACAATACAGGGGCCTTTTTACGACGTAGTGAAGAAATACGAAGCGCTTCGTTCAACAAAAGCTAATTCCAACAGGTTTTTTCAAAATTACCAAAATGGAAAATGCACTAACCAACCCATTGGCATTAATAAATTGGGAGCAATGCCGAAAGAAATTGCCACTTTCTTAAATTTGCCTCAAGCACATGAATACACAGGGCACAGTTTCAGAAGGTCCTCGGCTACATTGCTCGCCGATTCAGGTGCGGACTTATTGACACTAAAACGCCACGGAGGATTTTTTTTTTTTATACATGACAGGCAAATGACTCCACTCCACCTGATGTTAAGTGGAAAGTGGTATCCAAACGCGAAGGAACCTAGTGCAGCGATGAAATCCTCACTGCACTAGCCACCCTCACCCTGCCTGCCTACAATATGCCTCTTCACGCCTCGTTTGAAGGACCCCATATCATAAGAGGGAGGGAAGACATGTGCCGGAAGGGAGTTCCATTTATCAACCGTGCGGCAGAGAAAGGAGCCACCGAACCTTTTAGTACGCGATGGAATTCGGCAGGTAGTGAAACGGTGAGTTCCGAGCAGGAACGGGGAAGGGGGGATGAGGTTGAACAGCTCTTCAGAGCACTCACCATGGTACATGCGGTAAAAGGTGCTAAGCGATGCAACATCTCTACGCAGGTAGAGATGGATGGCGGTCAAGCAATGTAGCCGAAGGATACATAGAAGACTCGATAAGAAATAAAGAAGAAATTAGCTCTCGCATTACAAGGAACATAAATTTGGAGTCAAGTGTTGACTTTCAACCATCTACGAGCACACACGCGTACATTCCACCATCGTCGCCGCAGCCGCAACCGCCTCCGCCGCCGCCACCGACTGCAGAACTCTGTGGTCTCGTTTCTCCTACTTTCACTCAAGAGAGTTATGATATTATAAAGCCTGCTTGTAACTGAGATTCACGTAAATCTGCTTCATCTTCGTCCTCATTTTCGAGAGGATAATTGAGCGTATAAATTCGTGACCGTCGACGTCGACCTTTGCAACTCTGCATTTGCCATCGGTACCTTGTATTAATGAAGTTATTTTTCCTACTCTCCAATTCTCTCTGTTCTTGGTCTCACCTTTCAACTGCACGACATCACCCACTTTAGGAACACGATTTGAGACTACCCTTGGTTGTTTGTACGAGTGTTTGTACCTTTCTCTCAAGCTGGTGAGATAATGTGTGACAAACATTTTCTTAAATTCGTCCAATAGTTTGCGACCTTTCTTCCAGCTATTTATTAAATCGAGTTTCGTCGCTGTACCTACTATTTGTGACGTTGTTTGTCTGGGACGTAATATGACACAGTTGGCTAAACTTAGAAAATCTGCTGGCTTCAGGACATGTTCTGGATCTGGTCCAATCTTAGTCAAAGATCTGGAGTTGACGACTGCCTCGACTTCTTTTATCACAGTCGAGAGCTGAGACTCACTCAAGAGATGTTTCTCTAGTGTGCGTTTTGAGGCAGTGCTTCACAAGTGCAACTAGTCGTTCGTAAAAGCCACCATGCCACGGGGCCAGCTGTGGTATGAATTTCCACCGTATGTCATTCTTCGTGCAATACGAACTTGACAAAACTTCGGCCATTAGCTTGAAATACGAAGCATTGTCAGAGAATATCAATTGTGGTAGTCTTCGCGTAGCTACAAATTGTCTCCAAGCCAAAACACTTTCTTCTGCTGTTAAATCTTTGACGATCTCTAAGTGAACGGCGCGCACTGCTAAACAGGTCAGTAAACATACCCATCTTTTTTCTTTCCTACCATTGGTGTTCACATACATTGGTCCAAAGTTGTCAATACCCGTAAATGCGAATGGAGTACTATAGTTTACTCTCTCTACAGGTAATGCTGGTGTATGTGGAAGTTTGTACGGGCTACTTCCGTGTTTTATGCATTGTGGGCAACGTTTCAGGACCTTCTGTACTTATGCTCTTCCATGAGGTATCCAATACTGGTTTCGTATGATACTCAATGTGTGTGAAACACCAATGTGGTAGTTCTTTTCATGAGTTTCTTGTATAATTTTGTTTATGAACTCACTATCTTTGGGTAGAAGAACTGGATGTTTCATGTCATATGGCCAGATTGTATGTGCCATACGTCCCTTTGATCTGAGAACACCGTCTACATCCAAGAACAGGCCTAAATTTCTAGATAAGTTTGTTTCTTTACCAGCTACTTCTTGTGGGAAGTATTCGGCTTGAAGTTTCTTTATATCGGTGGTATGTCTATCAAGAAGGTTGCAACGATGTTCACTCTCTTCTTGCAGAGGCACGTCAGAGCAGTCAATGCCTATGTCAAATGAGTCATCAGCACTAAGTTCTCCTCCCACAAACATGTCATCTGGACTGTCGAAGTCCTGAGCCTCCCCAGCCGAAAATAGCGTACAATGGCTGTTAGTTTGTCTTGTGTGTGGCCAAAGACTTTCTTCCTTCAGAAGGAAGTCAGGTCCATTAAACCACAGTTCCTTCTTTTGGTCCCAGAGTTCGGGTCGCGTGGCAACGTCAGCTGGGTTGACATCTGTGTTAATGTAGCACATTTTACCATGATGGTTTTCTTTAATTTCATTAACTCTTCTGTTAACAAACGGAGGAAGCAGTTTATTGGATTTCATCCAGCTAAGAACCACTAGACTATCAGTCTATAAATATTGTCTTAGGATTAGTAGGTCAATGTTGCTTCTGACGTATTTTAATAGCCTGCTTCCAACCAAGTAACCTAACAGTTCCAATTTGGGCATTTTCAAATTATCTCTCTCTTCAATTGGTGTGACGTGTGTCTTGGACATTATCAGAGCCAATTTGTTGCCATTGCTCCTTAAGTAAACCACAGCGGCATATGCTTTTGTAGATGCATCTGTAAAGCAGTGAAGCTGGTATTCACTGTCACCATGGGAGTAAATACCACCAACATATCTGGGTATGACAACGTGTTTAGCTTTCTGTAAATTTTCTCTGACAATGTCAAGTTTCTGTATCAAGTCATCAGGGAGAATGTCATCCCATTTTAATTTCCTCGTGCATGTTTCTTGAAATACGAGTTTTGCAGAAAGTACCAATGGAGATACAAAACCACAGGGATCGTAAATACGAGCTAATGTTTTTAGAACCTTTCGTTTCGTATTAACTGAAGACTCAAATTCAGAGCTCTCATTTGATTTTAGTTTCAGTGTGTCTGTATCTAAATGCCATATCAAACCAAGCACTTTGGTTTCCTTTGTCACTTTGGCTATATGTTCTTCAAGTACAGTCTTGAGGAAGTGCTTATCATTAGACAACCAATATCTAATGTTCATTGAAATCTGATTAAATGTGTCTTTAGTCTGATGATAGATATTCTGAGCTTGATTCGTTGTTTCGGTACCTGTCATTAAATTATCGACATAGCATTTAGTAGCAATTTCTTTAAGCTGTTTCTCATTTGTGCTGGACATATGATATCTAATGGTAGCAGTGAGAAGAAATGGACTAGATATTATACCAAAAGGTACTCTTACCACTCAAAGGTT